ATCATCATCATGTATTATCATGTATCATTATCATCATCATATATCAACATCATCATTTATCATGTATCATCATCACTATCATCATAATTATATCATCATCATTATATCTATTCCCATAGTGAACTTTTAAAGGGGTATAAGTTCCAACATTATATTCATCTCCCTTGATGGGTAGGCATATTACTTAGAGCTCGTTAAGTGTAATACCTTAACAGGTAAATATGCTGCACTAACAAATCCCTGATCATCACCAGCAAACAGTCTGCTATCATTATCATCCCAGCAAAAGCAGGTTACTCTTGCATTCTTGTGCTCTTCTGATCGTCTTAAACACTGCAATCATAATAATTATATTAATTGCTAACACCTTCAAATTAACTATAACTTCTAATGCAATATTTTCAGTATTGATTCTACATGAAATAAATAGTTGGATGGTAAAATATTTGAGTGATGCATCTTGGAGATGTCAAGGTTTATACTTCCAATATATTAATGAGTATGCTTTCAGGACATCTGATTACATACAGACAGATCAACTACCTTTGGTTTGTCTCTGGTTCTTGAGCCAATGTCAATCACTAAAACAATACCGTTACTATGGGGAAAAAATACAAAAATCCAAGTTTGAGTCATGGTATATATATATATTTATTTAGTAAAAATACACAGGGATTATTGAAAATCTCGCATGCTGATTGGTGGAGAAACTCACGCTATCACACGATAATCACCTCCAGCAATAATCCAAAATGGCGGTCAGCGGCTTTGTTGCTGTTACCGGAAAAAAATGTCTTTTATCTCCTTTTTTTCCTTTTTTTGAAAGAATCACCTGTGTATTTATACCGAAACAATTATTTGCCTCAGCCTCAGTGAATATCGAAGAATATTTACCATGGCGCTCACTTCTCAGTAAATATTCCCTGATATTCACTTTGCCTTCGGTGAATAATTGTTAAATAAATTATGTTAAATAAAAACTCCAAACCTTGTTGCAACACCCAGATAGCTTTTTTCATGAGCAAAACAAAGCCTAATGATTCCTCCTTCCTAAAAGAAGTTAAAGGAAGAATTTTAGAAAAACACTTTGCAATGCATTACTGCGCAATGTGCAAAAGTATGGCTACATTTAATGTCTCGGCATACTTCTGTATGAACATTGGCACAGGTTCTATATGTTAAACCATCACATTCAATGGTTTTGCCAACTGAAATATTGCGTGCAAATGCTCTTTGGCAGGAAAGAGCCAGTGCATAGAAGCATGTGAATACATTAAATGTGGTCATACTTTTGATCATTGCCCAAGATCATCAGGAAGAATATTAATAGTCATGTAAGTGGTAGTGGTTTGATGGATACCTTGGTTGATATAAGTCGAACATACTTCAGCGTCTTTCTGTTGTATATGTAGATACCACCAGATGTGTTGCCGACAGCAAGGTACTTCCTTCCAGTAGACATACATGTATGCTATTGGTCATTAAATCAAATTATCATCAGACGATGTATCATCATCACTATCATCAATATGCATCATCATCATGTATGTATCATCATTTAATGCATCATCATCATCATGTATGTATCATCATCTATCATCAATATGCATCATCATCAAGTTTGTATCATCCTCAACATTATCATCAATATGCATCATCATTGTCATCATCATCATCATGTATCTATCATCATCAATATGCATTTAATCATCATCATGTACGTATCATCATCTATCATCAATATGCATCATCATCTTCATCAATCATCATCATGTATCTATCTATCATCATCACTATTATCAATATGCATCATTATTCTCACGTATGTTCCAGGTCCACAATTGATTGAGAGCCATGGGCATGCTTTGTACCATTAGTATCACCCCACCCCTCCCCTGTAAAGACGATAAGACACAAGGGGATAATAGGTGATGATATCATATACTGGTCTGGTGCTTCACACATGACACCCAGCTGTTTGACTTGTAAAATCCTATTTCACTAGATTTATACATTAGGATATGAAAATTATAATCTTAAAATGCGTTTAGATTGTTAATAGTTTTAGAAAAGCTATGAAAACTGTCAGATTGATTCTTAACTCCATTTGTCAAATCCAACTCTATCAATAAATTAAAAACTGCCAAGTTATAATTAGGTAATGACATGCTTACAACCAAGTTTACCAAACAGATACATCAACAAACATTGACTTTGAAAAAAACAGTTCTTACAAATAAGTCACAACAAAAATAAAGTGAATCCTACTTGTATTTCGACATTTTGTTATGTTGCAACATGTATTAGATACATAAAATAAACAAAACATCAAAACTTGCCTTGATTCTAGACATACTCATAAGGGAGCCATAGATATCTTGTAGAGATCCCATTTCGACAAGAAAGACCCCATATTCACCCAAAACCTTTATGAGACTCGAACCTCCACTGTCAGCCGCCATCTTTGTTTTGCTTTCAATTTCCGAGAACTCTTCCGAGAAAATACTGGAGCTGATCGTGAATCCGAATACCTTCCGAGTTGATAGCGAATGTTTTACGAGAGGTCTCGTGACATGAATGTGACCCTACCACGTGGTATTCACGTATATAAACTACGAAACAAACTATTTTCATTCTTCTCGATTCTTTATTCATTGTCAACAAGGAATTAGAAGAAGCTACAAAACTCTGTCAAAATGAAGATCTTTGGTATATTTGCCTTCGTTCTTGCCTTTAGCCTGTCCCAGGCTATAATCAGGTAAGTTATATTCGGATTAATGGGTTGAAAAGTGAAGCAATTTATGAAAATTTGGTCTGAAAATATCTGAACGTTTGTCAAAAATGTCTATTTAGAGTTCCTGTTTTTTTGCTGGCACAAAGGGAAAGGGAAAGGGGGCTCTCTTGTTAGAGTTCATTCTACAGTTATTTTCGCCCGGGTTTTCGGTGGTCTTAAGTTTTAAGATCGTTTAATCATTGCCAAAAAACTTGGATGAAATATAATTTGACTAGAATTTCGTAACAGCTGTTTGAAATAATTTTTTCTTTTTGACAAACACAAAACGCTTTGTTTTTCTTCCTTCAGCGAAACGTCAAAGAATTAAAAAAATCAATGTCATTGCAACTAGAAGTAGAATAAACGAACATTTGTGACAATCACATGGTCAGCAAACACGAGTTTCGTAGTGTACTCTTGAAATCAAGTTACATTCAAGTTGTTGACAGCGAATAAACTTATGACGTCTTTATCATTGAACAAGTACAAAGAGGATTGAAAATGTTTGCCATTGTCTTTTAATAACTGCCATAACCTTCTTTACTTTAATTTTCATCTTGAAAACAAAGTTCCTTGAGAAATCAAATAAAGATATTGTCAAAAAATGTCTAAACTAAACATAACTCATCAAAAAAAAAATTAAAATATGGATTATAGATTCAAAGACAAGTAATTTCTTAATATTCAGGATCCCTTTACACAAGATGTCAACAGCAAGACATGAGTTGAAGAAAGTTGGTATCACAGCCAAAGATATCAAGAAAAAACTAGGTGCAAAATATCAGGGTCTGTCTGGAGAGGCCCCTGAACCACTGACTGACTACATGGACGCACAGTACTATGGAGAAATCTCTATTGGAACCCCGGGACAACCCTTCAAAGTCATTTTTGACACTGGTTCTTCAAATCTGTGGGTGCCATCCAAACACTGTAGCTGGTTGAACATTGCCTGCTGTAAGTAATATTGGTATTTTTGTGATTTTCTTTTCTTTTGATGTTGTCACTTGTGGCATTATTGATCACAAACACAGTACATAACCTTTATTACGTTTGCTATAACCTCCATGGTTTATTTCAGTGTTGCACAACAAGTACGACAGCAGCAAGTCCAGCACCTACAAGAAGAATGGAACAGAGTTTGCCATTCGTTACGGCAGTGGAAGCTTGTCAGGTTACCTCAGCACGGATACTGTTACAGTAAGAAATATGAAATATTGTTCATTCCTATTAGATGTATTTTTACTATCTCAAAATCTTTAGAAACTGAACTTCAAATTTTATTGAACCATAAATTATATTATATATGATTTCATTAAATCTAGGTTGCGTCACTAGCTGTAAAGGACCAAACATTTGCCGAGGCTATCAAGGAGCCTGGTATCACATTTGTTGCTGCTAAATTTGACGGCATTCTTGGGATGGGGTATTCTTCTATATCTGTTGATGGTGTAGTACCTGTTTTCTACAACATGGTTGCACAGAAGCTTGTGCCATCTCCAGTTTTCTCTTTCTACTTGAACAGGTAGTTCAACTGTAGCCCTCAGCATTGCTGTTTACGTCTGTGTTAGACTATTGTCCTTAATATTGTTTATTGATGATTTCTGTATTGTTTAATACTGTTGTTTTTCTTTAGAGACCCTAAGACCTCTCCAGGTGGTGAACTTCTTCTTGGTGGCAGTGATCCTAAGTACTACAAGGGTAACTTCACTTACCTTCCGGTCACACAGCAGGGGTACTGGCAGTTCAAGATGGACAGGTAATTAGTTTCTATGACAACCTACACCTTCCAGTGCTAGTCCGATACATTCCTGGCCTAGTTGTAATGTGTTGCGTGAAAATGAAAAGCAACTTTCCATTCTTAAGAGAATAAGATTCGAAATAATTGAAAACTTTTGGTAGGGATGCATGGCCTTCGTGAATGAGCTCAGAACATGCTTCAGTAGTGATAGTTGATGATGATGAACAATGGTTGTGACCATCATGATGATGATGATGATGACCATAGAGGTAGTCATAATGGCCATGATGTTGCATGTAACTAGTGTTAATGTTGATGACGATGATGTTATTGAATAATGGTTATGGTTAGTAATCATCTGATAATGATGATGATGATGTTGGTAATTTCAGGCCCCGTCCACATGTGCCTGCAAATTTTTGTGTCCGTATCCGCAAATTTTATGAAAACGAATACGTGTGGACGGTGAAAATGATTCAATTACGCTGCGTGTGGACGCAAACATTTTTGTATCCGCAAAAAATAATTTGCATATACCAAAATTTCCGGATACGTGTGGATGGGGCCTCAATGGCATTTGTGATATTGTTAGGGTTGAGGATAATTATAATTATTGATAGTAAAAATCATCAACTTGTGATGACAATGAAAGTTTTTTTCTTGGTTTTCAATAATGATATATGACATATTCTTATTTAATTCTCCACAGCATCAATTTGAATGGAAAGACGTTCTGTGCCGATGGATGCCAGGCCATTGCAGATACAGGAACGTCACTGATTGCTGGCCCCACTACTGAAATCCAAAAGATCAACTCCTTGATTGGAGCCTTGCCCATTGTCGGTGGAGAGGTAACATTAATGATACAGGAACTCTGTCTTCTAGAGGCTGTGCTGTTTTTCTCTGTAACAATCAAGTTCATCTTATACCCTGAAACAACCTCTGGGCTGACCAAAGTCAGGGCATGGCTAACTCACAGATAGAACTCAAACAACCTCTGGGCTGATCTAAGTCAGGGCACGGCTGACTCACAGATAGAACCCTGAAACAACCTCTGGGTTGATCTAAGTCAGGGCATGGCTAACTCACAGATAGAACCCTGAAACAATCTTTGGGAAGATCAAAGTCAGGGCACAGCTAATACACAGATGGAAGCGTAATTTAGCTGTTTAGGTTTTGTGAAAGGAGGAAAACTCAAGAACCATGAGAAAACCCTCCAATCAAAGGACTGACCTAAAAAAATATACTCACATGTGATGCCGAGTCTGGTAATCAATCCCTAGATCCCAGTGGTGAGAGGCGAGTGCACCATCACTACACCACCCTTGATTCACTAATGTATGTGATATTGAGTCCAGGAATCAAACCTGAGACCCCAAAGGTAAGAGGCGAGTATACTTATACTACGTCACCCTTGATTCCCTTTTCTATAGCCCCTCAGAGAGGTACCCTCTTATCATAAGCAAAACTCCTTAAGAAAGAAGAGTAATATTGTGTTTCTGTTTGTTGTTGTAGTACATGGTTAACTGCAGCAAGATTGCCAGTCTTCCAAACATTGATTTCAAACTTGGTGGGAAGACGTTTACACTTACTTCTGAGCAATATGTGTTGAAGGTTAGTCAATGGCCTCCAATAGTCCTTGTTACAGATCCCTGCACCATCTTGAAAAGTAGCCTTGCCTTTGCATCGAAGCAAGATCAACGTTGAGCTTGCAATGATAGACACCCTTTTTGACACCTTAGACAATTATTCACAAGTCTCTATCATTGCAGGCTCACTAATGCAAAGGCATGGCTACCTTTCAAGATTGTGCAGAGAGTTGTGAAGGGGACTAAGTATTGCATGAAGATGAGAAACAATCTTGATCTTGATGGGGGGAGGGGGGAGGTAGGTAGTGATGTTCAAGGTAAACATAACTAAAGTGGAATATTATGATAAACGTTAATCAACGTTTATGATGTAAAGAAGTCTGGATTGAGATTATAATGCTAGTAATAATGACTTTCATGATGATAATGATACATGATGATGATACATGATGATGATGCTACA